CGGGGTGGGAGGGAGTCGGCCGGCCCCGCGCGGGGTCCGGTGGGGTCGGTGATGGCTCGGGGACGGATGACTCCTCTCCAGCAGGCTCTGGCCCCCAGACCGGGGACTCAAGGAGTCACAGGGCGCAGTGAGACTTTTCCCGGCAGTTTCTACATGGTCTGGAGGAGCCCGTTATACAGGCTGAGTCAGGAAGGAGGAAGGAGATGGGGGTTCGAGGGGCACACGCGATCAGAGGTGGGATATTAAGGGGGGGGTGACAGTTTTGTAGGTCTATCTTGGAGAGAGCCAGAGAAGGGACGAGGGGGGAGAGAGAGAAACAGAGAGAGAGGAAGAGAGTGAGAGAGAGACCCCCTAGGTATTACCCCAAACAAAATCGTGGGAATAAAAGAGAAAAGTGATTGGCAAGACCGCGGAAGGCGCCTGGGGGAGGGGAGAGGGCTGGGGACCAGCGAGGGTGCCGGGGGTGGGGGTGGGGGAGCTGACGGAGGATAACTGAGTTTAAAAAGAAAGAAACCAACCCCCGAAAACAAACAAGCGAACGAGCGCCAGCCTAGACTCGGAAAGGAAACTTCTCGCTCCCCTTGCTCTCGCCTGATCACCCGGTGCCGGGCCGCGTAGACGCTCCCGAGGCAGGCGCGGGGACGCAGCGCCCACCCGGCCTCCCGGCCTCCGCAGCCCCAGCCCGCGCCTCTCGGGGACCGCCCGGGCCCACTTGGAGCAACTTTCCTCTAGAGAAGACAATTGTGCGCGTCCCCGGCCTGCCCCAGAGCTGCGCGGCGCGGGGAGGGGGCGGCTGGGGGCGCAGTGTGAGGTGCTGGAAGGAGCAAAACACAAAGACGAGAGAATTTTGATTAGAGACAAATGATGCTTCTCTCTCTCTCTCTCTCTCTCTCTCTCTCTCTCTCTGTGTGTGTGTGTGTGTGTGTCTCTGTGTGTGTGTGTGTCTAGGTTTTGTGTGTGTACGCGTGTGTGTGTCTTTTGCTTGTTGTGGTGGAGGTGTCGAACCATATGGGGGAGTGATAGAGGAATTTTAGTCAGAAACTGTTCGTTACGTTATCCTGCCTTTCCCCTTTGTGCTGTCTTTGATCTATTTGCTTGGCTTAGTATTACAGAAAAACAAGTACAATAATATATTCCGAGCTGCTTCCCCAAGATTCAGTTCAGGCTGCTGCTTTTTAAGTCTCTCCCTCTCTCTTTCTCCCTCTCTCTCTCTCTTAATTTAATTTTTTTTTTTCACTCTGGTGTCTGGCATTATTTAAGGTGGTCCTTACACAGGAGACCTCCCCTTCCCCATCTCTGAGTAATTTAGTAGACACTAAAATTACACCTAATGTCCCCCTCTCCTCTCTTGTGTTTCCTCTGTTCCTTTTATTAAATGTTGGTTATTGATTTTCTAAAATCAATGTCTGTTGTGGGGCTTTTTTCCCCCTCTTACAAGTATCTAAAGCACGTTGCTGATCAACTGGATAACAAAAGCTTTGTGTCAAGGAGGCTTTTTTCCCCCTTCTCTTAAACAGTCATTTTTTTGAGAGAAAAGAGAATGAGATTTAAAACAAGGCTCCCAGAAGTGTTCTTTTGCAGGGAAGACTATTTAAAGTGTGCATTTCTTCTTGCCTTCCTCCTTCGGGATTTTGCCACCGTTGACCAGCCTGGCCCTAGCAGTGAGGTCAGGCCAGAGCCCAGGTCTAAGGAAATAGAGGTATCCTGGCTTCCTGGGAACCCCTGAGGGACCTGGCAGAGAGGGAGGCCCGTTGGGGGCTTCGCAGGTGGAATGGAGTGCCAGAGATGTCCGCAGTCATGGACACTGCAAGTATTTCCCCTCCACCCAGCCACTAACTTGGGAGAAGCCTCCACATTCCGAAGTGGAAAGTTGAATTGCACATTTTAAGGCATTTAGCCCAGATCCTGCACAGTTAACATCAAGCCTGTCTATTGCTCACAGCTTCTCTAACTTTGACTGTTACCTGTCTCTTTTTCCAAATAAGCTATGGGAAAACATGCTGTATATTGGTTACTTGTCAGTGTTTTTCACTGGGTTTAATCTGACTGAGCAATGTTCTGGTTTTGAGAAGCAGGTAGAAGAGTGCTACCACCCCACCCCTTTTTCATTTTCTTTCTCATCAAACATGTATCCAATGCCTTTCCCTTTGGGAATTGCTAGGATTTATCTGAACTGAGTGGATTTTTCTTCTTTCCTGGATTCATGGAAAAGATGTCACTTTTGAGCTTGTGTCTTTGCTGATAACACTAAATATGATGATGCTTATCAAAATCATATAGAAATTCCTGGACAGAAATAATGGCAATAATAATCATAGAAGTAGAAGCTGGAAAGGAAAAAAAAGATGGTCATCCAGGAACCTAGAATGGCACTTTATATAATTTTAATGAAGTCAACAGTGTATATATAGACTAAGGCGACAAGGAGATAAAACGTGTAAAGCAGTGTGTGTGTTTGAAAGGCTGCTCAAGAACATGGGTTAGAAGACAATGCTGTGTACATTTAATAAAAAGGAAAGGAGAGGGAGGCAGTTGAAGAAAAATAAATGTACAAAGAGAGAAACAAGTATCTAAAATACAACCTTCCAGATTCTCAGGCTAGCAAGATGCCTGGCAGAGGCAGTGCCAGGGCCAAGTTAACCCATAGCGGGCAGTCAGTCTCCTTTCCCCCACATGGAAAGGATGAAATCTCTTCCCAGAAAATAAGATGTGCAGGAGGAAAGAGGGAGTGGGGTGAGGGGGAAGGAGGCAAAAAGCGAGTTGCCCGCAGACAAGAATGTGTGTCGGTTTCAAGAAAGTTCAGTCAGATGATCCTCAGTCGCCTGACTCACTTTGTAACACTTTCACTGAAGCTGGAGAGGAGGGGGAAAACCCAGCCCCCCTTTTTCTTTCCCCTGATTATACCCCACTATCTCCACACAGCCTTGGAGTCAGAAATGAGCACTCGGAGCGGGAGATGCCCTGCTGCTGCTTGCCACCGGTGCGGCCCGTTTGTAACTTGCAAAGTTTGTTGCTTTTGCCCCTGATTCGGGCAGCTGGTCCTGGGATGCTCCTGCTTCCCTCCTGCCTCCCACGGAGCCCGGGAAGAGGGGTCTGCCTCCCCATCCCGCCTTCCAGCATCAGTCTCTGAAAAATCTCACAGATACATGCGCGTTGTAGCAAAAATCAAATCCGGAAACTGCTTGTTTCAGAGAAAGGAATAAAGTTGTCTTTTAAAGGAAAACTGAATTAGGAGGAGAGAAAAAGGAAATAGAAGAAGGAAAGAAACGTTAAATTTGATTTTTCTCCGGAGTTTCCACTAAAGGGTTGGGGACAGTGTGAAGGAGAAGGGGAGCTTTTTACAAATGCTTTTGGTCTCTGAATTTCAGTGGCAAAGAACAGGGATCAAGTTGAATGTTCTCAGGGCTTTGGATCCTAAAGGAGAAACAATCAGAAGAGCAGAAATGATTATCCCTGTTTAAAATAAGCCCTCACTCTTTACCACTTCCTTAAAGGAGTGGAGGTGCTAGTAGTGATGGTTAGAGGCAATGAGGGACAGAGAAGTTGCCTCCGTTTCAGAGATGCTTAAATGAGAAGGAAAGAAAATGCAGTCAACCCCTTCTCCAGGAGGTGACTCCTAGCTCTCCTTCTTGAGAGGTGAAGTTGGGATGGACAACGAGAGTCACACACACTTAGGAAAGTTTCCTTCGGATCACAGTCAGTCCAGACTTGGTTATCTTTGCAAAGTGTGGAAATCTTTGGCAAGTAGCTTTCTTCGTAAAGTTGACGAGCTTATAGGGAGCCTGTATTGCTGACTCTCAAAGCAGCTTGTGTGGCAGGTACCAGTTCTGAGGGTGCTCCAAGGATATCCATCTCCATCCTTTTTTCTCTGTGGAGATCTTCTGCAAGTTTTGTCATGCTGCACACACACAAGGCTGGGGGCTATGTATCTAGGCTGATCTATTTGTTTTATTTTGGTCTGGAAAAACTAAGCCAATTGGGGTAGAAACATGCTTTCCTTCGTAGCAGAGCCAGTAGGCTGGTGGTGTCCATAGAGTGACAGTCCACCAGGAGTAAGGGTGGGCTGAGAATTTTAAACTTTACATTGTTTCTCTGTTGCCAAATAGAAATAAATTCACATCTTCAACCATTTGTTCTCAAATAGAGTAAAACCATGATTAAAGTTCCCTGCTCAACTGCCATGTCATAGGTTTCAGTGTTTCCCTTCTTTCTTAATTTGCTTAAAGAAAATTCCAAGAGGTTATTAAAGACCTTGATGCCATATTGAGAATATTTCCTGGGAAAAATGTGTATCTACCCTGAAGGTAGGAAAGGAGGGCGTTGCTAACCTCTCTAGCAGTGCCGCGTTTATTCTAAGATGTGGGAGATTCTTTTCCTTGCAACAGTTTTTGTCATCTGCATTCTTCCAAGGCTTTTAAGGTGCATTTTCTTCTGTGTGAAAGGAAATTCTTTGTCCTTTTCCTCTCAGCACCGTGGCTTCCCAAGGTAGACACTATTTTGTGCCTGTCACAGAGAGAGGGAGTGCAGGTTTGCAATGCTCACAGACAATTGATTGTCTGCCCTAATGTGTTTCATTTACATGTTTATAACGTCAATGGTGCTGGGGTGTCCACTGTACCATTCATTCCCGCATTCCCACAAGGGGGCAATTGTCTGAATGGCCAAGTCAGACACCTTTTTGATTGCTCTTTGGTTGTCTTTTCAGAGCAAAGAGATAAAGGAGGAAAATCTGTGATGCAGAAACACTAGTTGAAAATATACAGAATTAAATGTCACCACAGAAGCAGATGTTAACATAAGCCCAAATATGCTTTTTAGCCAAGATGTGAAGGTTGAAAAAAACAATTCAGAGCAGAGGAAAGGATAATTGAAACCAATAAATATAGCCCTATTTCCCCTCTTTATTTCTTTTCTGTCTTTAGCAATCAGAAGATGAAATGTAATTTTCCTTTTCATTTTTAAGCCTTGAAACATCCAGGCACCTCCTCATTATTTGTATGTTTTCTGTGATTTGTGAATTTTGTATGTATTTACATAGCTCTGTTTATGCCAACAGCATCAGCTTACCACTTGGAAAATCTATTGAATGACTATTTGGGCTGTGGGGAGGGTAAACTTTTAAAAAGTAAGATCCAAGTATTTCTTCATCAAGCAGTTTTTAAAAGGAAAACGATAATAATCAGTAGGCTCCATGGAAGCCTTTGCCTTAATAGCTATGTGCCAAATACTTTTAT